TCTCGGTCTCCTTTTCATAAGCAGTGGTGACTTGTGCCACATGGCAGGTTGCAAGAGCTGGAGCACTGCTTGCAGCTGGAGAGGCTCTTGGTATTGTATCTGATGAGAGAGCAGCTGTCCCATAGCAGACTGAAGGTTCACCTCCTGCAGCCTCTTGTGGCCAAAACTAGAATTTAGGGAACAGAGAACTACACACAGTGATACTTCTCTGGTAAGTTCTTCTAATGTCCTATGGGCCAGGGGCTTCCTGAGCAGCATGAAATAGCTTGGTGGATGGAGTCCTGTCCTATGCTGGTCAGTTCAACTGTGGACTCAGTTTGGGCTGTTGGCCTCCACTGGGTCTGTGTTTCTGGGGCTTGTCTGTAACCTTTTCTGATCCTCTTTTCTTTGGGGTGAGGGATTTCAGGCAGCATGATTGCTTCTTCTGCTTAGGCCCTTCTGGTTCCCCTCCACATTCCTGGGTGTTTGTCAAAGAGAGTGTGGAGAAAGCAGTGGCGTTTAACTTGCACCTATTTTATAGGCCCTACTCCTCTCTCTGCTTCAGTCAGCTCTCATATTTCCACCACGCTGTGTTTTGCACTGTGCTGATGGGCAGGTGGAGGCCTGGCTTCAGCTTTTCCTGGGTAAGCACAATGTCCAAAAGCCCAGAGAGGCTGCAGGCTGCCTGGTATGGATGCCTGCAGTCTGATCAGAAAAGCTCATTGCTCGCATTATGTAAATCCCTTGGCTTTGGCTAGCAGAGGACTGTCAGGGCATGGAGAGTGACATCATTTGGAAAAAGAGCTGCTGACAGCAATGGAGAAGCATCCCTGCTCTCCCACAGGCAGGGTCTGCTCCAGCTCAGTCTGCAGGTGCTGCCCTGTAGATCTGAATAGTTCTAGGTGAAGTGCTGGATGCAGTGTGCAATCTGCATGGCTCCCCCACCCGCTTTGCATGGGTGCAGATAATGATAGTGCTGCAGCGGCTGTGATCTGTTCGTTCAACTTTGTCACCCAGAGATCATTTCCTTGTAACGTACACATTGTTTATACTGCCCTGATTTGGCTTTTACAAAGAAAGGCGACAAATGTCTGCAGTAGAAAGAGGTCACTGCTGCAATTCTGCATGCAGCTTCACCCACGCATTGCTATTGATCACTGCTGAGAGCTGCAGAGAAATAGGATGCAAGATGACTGCACTGTTGTGTGAAACCTTCAGCTCAGTAATGCTGAAATGCTATCAGACACCTTCTGCTCTAAAACCAACACAACACGCTCAGGATCACCATTCTGCCCCTTTATTCCTCCTTGAACACTACTAGAGCAAGCAGCAGTTAAGCACAAGCAGGCAGCCTTCACTAGAGGAGATCTTTTTCCCCCTGCAAGCTGCCAAAGTGGACTCTTTAGCTCCGGCGATAGACTGAATGAGACTGCAGTTCCCCCATCAGTTTCATAATATTCAGAAAGCTTCCATTTACATCACTGTGTGCAGTGCAGGGCAGCAGCTGCCAGGAAATTTGAAACTATTTCGATTCCAGTTGACTAGAACAGCAGCAATTGAATTAGCTGGTATCGCTATAGATAAACTGATGATCTGTGCATTTTATTTCTTTGACCAATGGGTAACTGCTGGAGCTACAGTAACCTCTGTGAGTAAGGAGACTGTTCAAGCAAATATATCTAATTTCTCTTCCTAGCTAATATGTATATATACATATATATATATATATAAATTATGTATAGAGAGAGACACTCACACCATTCTTTTGTAAAATGTACCTGTGAACAGAATGTCTGTCTATGCTTGTAACTTGTATTTTTCTTCCTAGAATTTCCTTCTATTATGCTGCAGACAAGCTTGATTGAATTGGAGTGGTTATTTATCTATGAAATATCATATCTATGCCTGATGTAAATCATGAATTCTTTCAGTCTCTAGTCATCAGAAAGGCTGCCAGTTGCTGTTAGATTATATTCGCCCGGTCTCCGTTTTCTAGCCACTCGCCCCCATGGTATTTTAGCCTTTTCTCTCATTGTAATTTTGCTCTGTTGAAAGAAGCTGCTTTCAATGCAAAGTAGAAATCGGTGTTACCTGATTGTGTCCTTTCATTGTTTGTTTGGTGGTGGGTGTTTTTTTTTCCCTGCGCATCTTCAGTGCAGTCCTTAAATTTTGTTGTTGCTTTTCTAGTCTTGTTTGTAATGCAGTCATATTGGGGGATGGGATTACACAGGATATGCCAGTAGCTGCAGCAAGACATGATGCTGTGGTGGTGGATGGGAATAAGGGAGGAGTTTCCCTTAAAGAGCTCAGCTTGCTCCAGACACTGGCACCTGAAGAGATGTGCTGAGCAGTGGGAAGGGTTTTGCCTCTTGCAGGTGCAGGTGGTGCTGCTGTCTATATGGAGCAGAGACTGTGGCAGTGCTGTGTGTGGCTCTACTTCATGCAGTGGGAACAGGCTGTTGCTTTGGTGCCGCATATGAACTTTTTCCATTCATCTCTGAATGATATAATGTTTCTTCAGGATGCTGTGAAAGCAAGAAACCCATTTGTTTGTGGTCACACTGCAGCTGCAGAAGTCCTGCCAAAGCTTTGCTGCTGTAGACATCACTGTAGAAAATGCCTTAATTTTATACTGTGGAAGTGCTTCCCTCTTGCCCACATGAAACACTTGCAGCTTGCGTGTTCTCAGAGAGGCATGCCATGCTCCTTCCCCATGTGTCTCTGTGCCTGCATACATACCTGCCTGTTCTACGTGCCTGGCTTTTCCTGAGTGTACTGAGGTTGCTGGAGGGTAATATTTGATTGGGAGTAGCTTATGGAAAACATTTTGGAGGAGAAGCAAACTGGAAACTTTCTTGGGACTGCTTTCTGCTGTGTGCAGCAGCCACCGGCGATAGAAGAGGCATGCAGCAATGTGTTCAGCATTCAGGGCTAGAAATAAGGCTGCTTCTGTTTCCCTCAGCTCGGTTCAGAAGCTAAGATAACAATTAGCAGAGACGAGTCTGGCCGCTTGGCATAAACTCTATGTGGGGCCTTGTTGGAGATTGGCCTTCAATATGCATTAGCTGCATCTCAGCTCCATGGAGGTCTGGGGGGGTGATGCACCGGGCTCATTTCAACTGTTGGGAGCCTTTTGCTGGTTTGAGGTTGAGCTAGTGCTGGTGCAAGTATGAAAGCTCTGCAACCACACAGCATTGTTCTTTTCATGTATTTTCCTGGCAGAAGCATGTCCAAGCGGTGACCTGGTGCCGGTGCCATAAAACAGACAGAGAATGCATCCTCGGTGTGGTTGTGCAGTTGAAATTGTGTGCAGTGGGTGCTGCTTGTCTGGAGCTCCCAGAAAAGGCACATCTGGAAGTGCTCATCTTGGGGCAGGAGACTTCGCTGTCTTGTTACTCCTCCAGTGCATGTGCAACTGTGAGCTGAAAACCCTGCGATGGAGCCAGACTAGGAGCGTGGTGTCGACAAATTTCTGCACTTCACAGCCATGTGGGATCTTACTGTTTGGTCTGAGGCTGCGTGAATCTTGTAGCAGAGGAGATCCTTACTTGGCCCAGACACTGTCCTCAGTGGCAGCCCAGTCATCTTGATGAAATCTGACCCACTGAAGTTTTATTCTGGAGTGAATAAATCAAGGGTGCAGAGATACCAGAGAACCTACAAGGAAAGAAACTGTGTCATAGCACAGTCTGAATCTGTCAGTTTGATCCAGGGCATGCTCACCTCAAGCGCAGTATTGCAGTATTAACCCTGTGGTTAGAGCTACTCTCTTGTTAGCTGCCAGGTATGGGCTGCTTCATCTTGTCTGTGTATCTACCACTGGCAGATACATAGCCACACTTGTGTGATGCTGAACTCGCATTAAATTATCCTCCCTCTTACCTTGAACTCAGCCTGTCATTAAACAGATATGTGAGTTTCTTCTCAGCAGTGGCTTGTGGCCAGGTTGGAGCGGCAGCAGCCATGTGTTTGTAGAACAGCACCCAGAGATACACCTCAAGCTGGGCAAAGCATCCAAGTGCAAGTGGATAACTGGTTTCAGAGATGTCCCTTGTAATGTTTTTCAGAGTAGTGTTTGGATCTAGTCTCGTTATTTGGTTTAAAGCAATTTAAACCTCAGGCCAGGCCTTTCTCTAAGTTTACAGTGAACACAGCTGCAGCTGCTTTTTCTGAAAGCTCATCTCCTCCTTGGACCATGATATCAGGTGGCCAGATAGGCATCAGTGTGCCATCCATGCTGATTCATCCTCGCTCTGAGAACAACTGGATCTATGTTACCCAAGAACAATAGGGGCCACTGGGTACTCGGCTCCTTTGAAAATGCCACCGATTGTTTTCTCTCCCTCTTTGTTTACTACATTGGTTTGAGAAGCAGCATGAGGAGAGAGTGCTAGCAGGCTTTTTGTGAAGCAGTGAATTTACTTTTTCAAAGAGAAATTGAGAGCTACTTGGTATGCATGCATTTCTGTAACAAGACCTTCAGTTGCCTGAGTTGCTAAAGCAGGAGGGTAGTACTGGCAGAAAGTTGAATTACCATGTAATTTACATAATTGGTTTTGTAATATTTACTATGAGGTGTGGCTGATTACCTTCCTTGTGTTTCATCTTAATAAGTGAAAATTACCTAGAAGTAATTTTTAAGTAAAAACTGATGTGTATGACACATGCTGTGGATGGATGTTGAACCTCTGAATGTCTGCTTTCTTCAATTTTGCATTTGGCATGTGGCCTTAGATATTCATGGGCCACTGGGACCCTTTCCGAAGTGTAGCAGACATTTTTGGCATTCCTTCCTCAGCAGTACGCACTTCCAAAGTAGGGCTGCCCAAAAACTCCTTTGTAAGAGGAATCAGTTGTGGATAACAGCAGTGTGAGCACGCAGAAGTGAGTTAAACAGAGTGGTGTTTTCCCTTCAGGAGTGAACGCAGTTGCTCTGTTATGAAAAAGCTGGGAGGGGAGGTTAGGCTTTTTGCTTATGCGTATACTAGGTAAATCCATACTCTATTTTCTTTTTTTTGCAGGTAGTGGCCATGGAAGTAATACTTTGCTGCCCCACACCATCATCAATGAATTTCCAGAATACGGCACTATGGAGGCAAGTAGAGATGCACTGAGGACTTCATCAAAGAGCCAGGCAGAGCCTGTGACTTGCAGTCCAGAAGAACGGGACCGTTACCACATACCTGGCAGGCCTCCTCCCCAGTCTGTGGCTTCTGCAGATGAGCCTAGAGCTCAGGTTAAGGCAGCACAGCTGCACACTGCAGAAGAAGGTTTGCAACCTGTGGGTAACTTGCCAGAGATTATGAAAATTTCTCAACAGCTAGAAGCAACAAAGGTACAACAGAGAGCAAATACTTCTCTTGATTCAGAGACACACATGGAAGAAAAGAGTGTTCCTGGCTGCCAAAATGTGCAGACAGCCAGAGAGCCAGTTGCAGCAAGCCAAGAAAAACCCTCAGACATGCCTCTTCCGTCTAAGCAAACAGCTGAGGAAAAAATGCACTTGATCATAGAGAAAGATCTGGATACAATATGGACTGATGAAAAGCAGTCTGAGTCCTTGCAAGCCACCAGTAATAAAGCTGAGGAGGTCCACACAGCAGAGGAGACAAGTTGTCATAGACCATCTGTGACAAACCTGGAAGCGGCCAGCACAGTGGATGGGTGGGCGCAATCTGAGGAGTTTTCAGCTTACAGTCAAGGCAGAATGAAAATGGGTCCTGAGAGGAGGCTCTCTAAAGAGGCAGCTGTGAGCAAACATGTAGAATTTCAAGGGGTGGAGATTTTATGGCTGCAGAAAGCAGAGGACCAGAGCAGAAAGAAGCATTCAGTGCTGGAGACCACACCTGTGGAGAGAAAAGCGTTCCCCAAAACATCGAGCCACTCTGTGCCACTGATGATTGCCTCCAGCTTGGTCACCTTGCCAGACAGTGCTAAGGGTGAGGTCTGGGAAGAGCCTGGGGTGGGAGCTGCCCGTGGAGCTGCTCCTCTGGCACTGCTTGATGAAAGTGGGGAGGATGAAGTTTTTGTGAAGGACAAGAGGAACCGCAGCAAGGAGGAGACCACTGTGCTAGCGAGAGATCATGGCAGGTGAGATGGTGCCTGAGTGGTATGTGGGGGGAAGGATGAGTGTCTCTCCTTGCAAGCATGGGACTTGTGTCTGCCCATTTGGGAACAAACCATTTGGTTTGCCATCAGCAGCATTTTTCATTTGTCTTCTGCCTGCAGCGTGGTGGAAGCAGTAATGTTTAGTGTACGATCATGGGCAGTGCCAGAAGTTAGCTGAACCCAGTCCACACCACAATGCTGGAGTTGGAAATGAGGCTCAGATTTGGAAGCGTGGAATTGTCTTTTGCAATCTGGTAATGATTGTGTGATGAAGAAACTGTGGCATATCATTAAATTTAGGCACTGCATAGGTCTGCCCACATGTACCCTGCTAGACATTTTGGTTTTGAGCCAAGCACATGGAAGAGTGGTGTGGGCCATTCTTTGTAAGGGTGTCCTGATTTGATTGCTCTTCCTTACTGACTGTGTCTGATGGAATGACAGGTGCACCAGTGTCTGTGAACCAGTCAGCATGTGTCCCTTTGGGTCCCTGAGCACTTTGCTCTGGTTAGTGCTAGAGCCATTTCAGCCCTGATGGCAGTGAACACTTGAAATCCGCCCCTAGGTCTCAGGCCCTTACAGCCACATGAGGGCACGCAAGTCTCATCATGAGGCGTGTCAAAAATTGCTGGATTGTCTCAAATGGGGGAAAGCTTGAAAAAATAACCAGAGTGCACTCTTCCTACCTGATACTGTGTGAGCTGTGGTCTTGCAGGATTCAGCCCAGGATCTTGCTTGCTTCACAGTTTTGAGAGGCTTCCTCCAGGCCAACAGAGTGCCCACCTGGGCTTGTGGCTCCAGCTTGTCTCTCAAGCATGGCCAGTGAGAGTGGTGCTAGTGGAGAGCTTGTGAATTTCTGAGTGGAGAAACTGACATTACCTTACATTAGGCTGTACATAGCGCTTCCCTCCTGCCTCTTGCCCGTCGGATTGAATGTCATGTCCCCCAGACTGTAACAAAGCAGAGAGGAAGATAGTGCTGTTGGAAGTGGAGGCAGCATGAGGAGAGAAGCTAGTGTGTTGTCCACTGAATGCTCTCCTGTACAAAGCACAGACCTTTCTTTTCTCAAAGGTCAGGAATGAGGAGGTCTTCTCAGTGGTCCAACCTTAGCTGCCAAACTGAAACAAGCTGTTTGTGATTCATTTCTAGAATCACGGAGGAGGGAAAAGCAACCATGGGAGGATATGAAGATGTGGTTGGACAAAGGCAATCTGACGTCTCTACCGATCTGTACAGCTCGCAGTTTGAAAACATCCTAGACAATACCTCTTTATACTATAGTGCAGAGTCTTTGGAGACATTATACTCGGAGCCTGATAGCTACTTCAGTTTTGAGATGCCACTCACTCCAATGATCCAGCAGCGTATGAAGGAGGGCAGTCAGTTTTTGGAGCGGACTTCAGCCTCAGGACAGATGGATGTCTTTCATCTTCCCCCTGATGGGGAAGCAAAGAGCTGCTGTGAAGGGATCGCCAATGGCTTAAGGAATGTAAGCGAAGCACTCTTCAGAGGAGATGTCACAGAAGTTCCTCATTTGGGAAGGTAAAAATAGTGGATGGGCTTTCTGTGTTTGTGCTTAATTTTTCTTAATCCTTGTATACTTCAGCAGACCATTTCAGAGTGTAATTATGATCCTGCACACTGCATGCTTCATACACTAACTGATTTCTAGTGTAATAAATTGAGCTGTAGAAGAGAAAAGAGCCATCCAAACCTCTGTTTATTAGGAAGTACAGATGTGCAAATTTTTGTAGGTTTCTCTGTGATGCCTGCAATAAGAAAAAGGATTAGTTGTGTTGTAGCATCTCTGGGATCTGTCACAGAGAAGTTAGTGTCCCAATACAGATGAATGTTCTTGTTTTCACTTACATCTGAATTTAACAGCAGCAATTTTAGGAAAAGTAAAATCCTGTGCACCCTGATGAGTTGTCCAAGCAAACCTATGATCTGAATGTTAAAGTTGTGTCTCTCTTTTCCTCTCGAGATCAGCAAGAGTTTTTCCAGTTATTTCTGTTGAGACGAGGCTTGGCTCCCACTTTGCCCTAGTTAACTGCGCTAGTTGGCTGATTTTCTTAACTAGTGCACTAGAAACTGAGAAAGGATTGTTGCAAAAACTTTGAAGATTCAGGCAAAGGGAGAGACAATTAAGAAGAGAGTTATGGGAGAAGCAAACACTGGGCTAAGTAATCAAAAAATTCTGAAAGTTTATACAAACTCGCACCATGAGAAACTTTCCTCGTAAGGTGTTGTCAAAGAGAAATGGGGAGATGGACAGGTCACAGCACAAGGGTACAGCCAAAAGCAGTGGAGGAGTGAGAGATCTTGCAAGTGACAAAGGTGCCTTGAGTCTCTTTCTTCCAGAGACAGGACATTATGTTAGTAGACCTTAGACTATTTCCTTAGATGGGACTGTATAATCTGAGCTTTCCTGGGCATTTGTAGCAGAAGGTGTTTTATGTGTTTAGACCTTTTGTTTGCAAGTGTAAACTATTCATTGAGCAGAGGTGATTTTGTCAGCTTCATGAGGAGCTTAGAGTAAGAAACCGAGGTAAGTCCTGACACTTGCAGCTCCTTCCACTGAAACCTGCAATTGCTGTAAGACTGTGGAGTAGTGGAAGACAAGCAGTGTGTGCACTCTGTTACCCCATCATTGTTGCCTTAGGTGACCCTCATGCTTAAAAGTGTCCTCAGGTAAGGTTCACACTGGCTTATCAAGACAGCATGAGGATGAAGTGAGCTCAGGCAGAGCTTGGAAACGTGCTGATTGCCCACCTAGTGTGGATTTCATTAGGAATTAAGTTCATTTGAGTTTAAATTTGCAGTGACAGAGAAATACTAACAGAAGCTTTTTAAGGAGCTTCTCTCCTTACTAATAAAACAAACATTTTCACAGAAGTGTGTTTTGACCAAGTGCTGTTGCCATCTGCATGACTCTGTTAGGTACAAAGCCTGATAGTTTGCTTTCTTATGGTGGGTATGCATAAAAGAGTGTAGCTGGAGCAGAGCAGCCAGCCACAGATGTGCCCAAATGGGTAATTCTCCAGACAATAGTTTAATTAACCGCCCCCCACTATGATAGTCTAAAATTGTGCTGTTTTATACTGGGGCACAGATGGCTGGTAAATCATGTATGCTATAGCACTGAAGCCACAGAAGAACTGTGGTGTTGCAGCATGCTGTTGAGGAGTGAAGTTTGAGTGCTGAGGGTTGCATAGGGTTTATTTAGGTGATTTGTCAAGATGGAACATCATTGTAATGCTCAGGTGAACCAGACACAGCTGACAAGCAAACTGCCCCATCCCGGCCGGTGCCCGCCTGCAGTGCGGCGCAGAGCCGCCGGAGGTCCCCGCGTCCTGCGCCCGGCAGCGGGGCGAGCGAGGGGGGGGGCGGAGCAAGCGGGGGGTGGGCGGAGCAAGCGGGGGGTGGGCGGGGTCTCCCAAGGGGGGCGGGCTGACATCGCGCTGTTTTGCCTGCCTCTCCTCTTCTGCCGGAGCCTTGCTTCCAGCTGAGAGAAACAAAAACCGAAAGCGAAAACACAGCAGCTCCCTACGCGCGGATATTCTCATGATATGTAGAGCGTGTGGGAAAGCGTGTAGGCGGAGTACGTTTTCCAGTACCTGCCTTAGTTGGTGAGGGAGAAGGCTGTAAATCACTGACAGTTCTCAGTTCCGTATGGGACGAGAGGGTGCATATGGAAGCAGAGGGCTTTACACCTGGAAATGGCACGCGGCGTCCCTGCTGCAAAAGGAGAATCGGGGGCTTCTGGCGGCCGTGCTGCCTGGGAATGGGGCCGGCCCGCGGTTTCCGAGCGGCTGTCGGGGAAGATCGCGGGCATTAATGGCACGCGGACCCTAGGTGGCGTGAGGTTGTAATGTACAGCCTGCAGTGACTCCGTGTTCTGCTGAGCGAGCGGGAGGATAACATCCTTCCCAGCTCTTAGGAAATCACTGGCTCTGGGAGGGGTCAGCCCTGGTATGTAAAGGCCAGTCACATGCCTTCAGAACTGAAAAAAGAAAAAAAAAAAAAAAAAAAGAGAGAGAGAGATTAAAGGCTTGCGGGCTGCTAGTTCCTATGGGCTCCTCTGCATCCGGATACTTCATCCCTACCAGCTGCTGGCCATGGCTGAATGCAGTAAGTGTTTGCGCAAGCTTGCAGGGCTGAGCGTGCTCCCCTGGCAGGGGCTGGTGTTGCTGCCCTAGGCTGCAGCTGGCCAGGGGAACCTGTGCAGCCCTTTGCAGAAGCAGTCCATTCCCAGCAGAGCTTCTTTGCCCTTTGCATCTGGCTCAGATGTGAGGAGAATGGGATCCTCAAGAAAGATGCGTGTGCATTTTGCGTTCTTTTGGGAATGACTCCATCTCCTGTCATTATTGTGGGGTTTAATCTCTTTCTTAATTGTGTATGAGACATTTCAATGGGGAAAAACAAATTTCTGCTCTTGAGATAGGTTTAAGTCTCCCCAGCTGGCAGGGGCTGAGAGTGTATGCGAGGTTCTGGACCTGGAAATAGCCTTCATCTTGTTAGAACAGTATGGCACAGCATGCAGTGGCAATAAGATCGTATTTGGGTGGCATTTGGTCCTCTTACCTGTGAGCTATCCCTGCAGCTGCACCTGCATGCCAGCGTAGGGCAGTGCTCCCGCATTGTGTCGGCATTGTGCTGAGATGGAAGAGGGGCCCAGGCCCAGTGCCTGGGATTTATTCTTCCTCGGAGGCAATAAAGAAGAGTATTTTCAAGATTCTTCCCAGACACTGAGCCTGAGTTTGTGTGGCCCAAAATAGGTGTAATCATTCATACTGAATCAGAGTGGGAGAAAGGTTATGTATTTCTAAAACAATAAGCTATAACTCACTTTTCCCTCAGGTGTCTTTGCTATGTATGCAGTGAGCAACTGAATAGCACTATGTCCCAAAGCAAGCAGTTCTCTCTATGATGATCGCTGTATTTCTTTTCTGTTTTCTGACTTTACACAGATAATTTGTTTTAATCTTTTTTTCTGCATTCTTTGTAGCAGACTTTGCATTCCCTCTTCCCTTGTATACTACTGTCAGAACAAAAAAAGGAGAAGATCCAACTTCTGGCATTTATCCTCCTGAATTGTCTTGGAAGGTGTGGTCTCTTGGTAGGACATAGCCCAACATTTTTCCAAATCCAAGGAGAGAGAAGAAAAAAATGTCTTTAGCAGCTCCAAATACTGAAACAGACAAAATATTTGCCACCTGCCATCATCTTCAAAGAATTGCTGCTGCTCAGCAATTTTTGCATGTCCTTTGTTTTTTGTTTTTCTTTCTCTAGAAATGCAAACACAATTTTAGTCTCATATGCGTTCTTTTGTAATTCAGGGGGTGGTGGTGGGAAACAAATTCCCTAAAGCAATCTGCTGGTTTTTGGAACAGATGCAGAAGAATGTTGACTGTAGTTCCCAGTGATTGTCAGGTTACTCTTAATGGATTGGACCTCTCAAATTCTCGTAGTAGTTCCCAGCTGTTTTCTTTCTTCTGCATATGGATCATTTCCAGTGCTTTCCTTACTGGTGGTCTGCTTACTGTAAATGTAGTGTAAATGTGAGATGCAGAACTTGCATACTTAATGGGTAAACTTTCTTCATTCATTTTATTAGCCTCTGCAGCTGCAGCCTGGTAGGACTTTTCCCTTCTGAATACTCACCCTATGACTTGACTGTGTGTTTTCATTCAGAATGAAATCTGCCTAAGATCCCTAAGCTGCGAAGTGGCTATGTTTTGGCCTTCATGTGTGACATCACAGTGACACTGGGGACCTAGGAGGGCGGGGCTGCCAGAAAGTACCACTACTCTTTATTCACTACTTTGGACCTATGGAGAGGGATGCAGTGAATAAGAGCAGTTGCAACTTCCTCTCAAGCTGGTATTTTCTTGTTTGTGTGCTTGATTATGAGCTGGCTCTGCTGTGATGAGTGGGTAAGTCATGCTGTGCTGGCTGCTGGCAGCACCTCACAGAAGTGGAGATTTTCATAGCTGCCTTTTTCCACGTGTTCTCACTTGAAAATGCGCATTTAGAAAATTGAAGTTACTTCTCAAATCACTGCAATGGCAGCACAGCAGTTGCAGTTTCAGGAATTAGGAAATGAGCTCATCTTTTTTTGTAAACATAGGATGATGCAACCCTCTCTGGTGGAAGTTGTTCTTTGGAAAGGGTTGAGGGGACTAATGGAAGCAGAAGTCACTCTTGAACCTGCCCGTCAGTGCATCTAAGTTGTTGTCTTTCTCAGGTGCCTTTTCAAAGGGGCAGAAAATGTGCTATGCTCATTGTTACATTTTTTCTCAAACTGCAAGAATGCCTGGAGTAAGGAGAATTTTTCTGAGAAGTATTGCTCACTGTCGTTACAGGATAGTGAGTGTATCAAATGTGTCTGCAGCCAGACAGCAAGCATGCACATACTGGAGTGCATTTTCTGTGCATGGCTGGCTGAATCCATCGGCTACTGAGATGTGAGGAAATGTGATAGCCTGGCACAGACGCACTAAATCCAGGTAAAGACAATATGGCACAACCTGCAAGGATAG